AACTTCAAAAGAAACGGGAAATGGAATTACTGGTTTGTTTCATTATAACAGTTTTGTCGTTTGCTTTTGTTATCTGGAAGCAGCTTAGAAATTTTATAAGTTTGCTTGCTTCTGGGTTTTGCCATATTCCTTTCTATTTCCTGCATTTTGTATTGTTCCTTTTTTTTCAAGCTGCTTTAGGTTTTTGCTGCATACTCCGTTTTTCCCCTGAGTGGTAGCTTGCTGTATTATAAATATATAATTAACCCGACTATTTCCACTGCTTAGAAATACATATTTGTTGTCTTGTATGATCAATGACAATTAAATAACTGATGGGTATGTCAGGAGGTTTAGGTTTTCGAAAATGGATCCCCTCGAATACTCAAATACCCTTTGCATCATTAATTTTATGGACAATTTTTACAATTATTAATGTTTAAGCATATAGTTTTTACATGAATGTTTATGTTAATATGCTTGACTAGTTCACGTAATGGAATTTTATATCCGACCATTTCCTTGACCTGACTACAATTCATATTAATCAAATCCAGGCAAAAGTTTTTTTATTGCATTTTTGGTTTTTACTGCAGACGTATATCTGTTACGAATCGTTGTTTTTGAATTAAATTAAATTTTAATGATCAAATTCCTGCTATAGCCTGTTTATTTAAGGTGAGATAAAAATAATTGAGGGTGAGTCTTTTAATCCCAATAACTGATTGTCTATGTGCTATTTCCTGCTTTTTAAAGTGAGCAAAATTTGTCATTTGTTAGGAAGCTACGGCGGTAAAGCCCATTTTAATGTTACCGGGGAACTGTTATGGTTATGCATTATTAAACTCATAGATGATCATATATGTTTATTTAGACTCAAATCGGAATAGGCATAGAGCCACAATAACACATTCCCGCCCCTTCTCGCATGATTTTGTTAAGAGGATTTGACTTTGTACACAAAAGTCTTCAATTTATTTACAAATTGTACTTACTTAATCTATCAAATAACGGCTATTGTACTGAAATACTAAATAATGCGTTCCAAATCCAAGTCTCCTTAAATCGCGTTGCTCTATGAAATGAATAGCAGGCTTAACTCTAGTCGTAAGAGCTGTTTGCTAGATTTTGTAAAATTAATGTTTAGTGTCGGCGTTAACAAACAAACGTCATAATTAAATTTATAACTTCATACGTTGTAGAATAATCTCTAGTTCTAAACTGTTCTGACTCCTGTGAGTAATTTCAATGCTTTTCAATTATCCACGTTGTGTGATAAGTTACAGACGGATTGCGTTGCTATACAAGTGACTTTTGAAAATAAAAGTAGTTTTAGATACGTTTTACCGAATTACAAATGTGGAATTTAGTTTTGTCTCCATGTTTTGGAGCTTAGGTGCTGGGTAAAATAACTAAATCCTATCTTTCTCGTGTATATTTTCATACATGTTTAACTCTACTTCGTTCAAGGAACTAAAAATTCGAAAAACCGAACTTAATGAAACGCGTGAATTGCTTTCCAAACATCACCAGACCCTGGATAATATTCAGCATGAACGAGCTAACGAATATATTGTAAGAAAGTGTTTTAAAAAGGCATGTCATCCTAGTGGTATCGGTATTTGCTTTGCGATGGTCTGCCTAATCCGATTATCGAAAAGGAAATCAATACATATATGAGCCTTTGGAGAATGAATGAAAACCGGATTTCAATGGAAGATGTCATTTTTGACAGTATTAACGCCATGAAAGTAAGATCACACTCCTATACCTTACGTCTCAGCTTATTGACGAGCTTCAAACACTTATAGCGGACATGGACGAAGAGAATTGCGAAATAGAAAGATACCGTGAGGTTCTCCCACTTTAAACTGCAATTTTGTACTTTACATAGGTAATGCAGGAGTTGCGCGAACTTGTGCAAGAAAAAGTCGATCGGGCCTGTGTTGAAACGCTGACTAAAGCTAGTCATTTCGCAGATCCAGAAACATCTAATCTCCAGAAATTTTGGCGCAACAATTGGCTCTCACTGTGCATTTGGGGCAATCTATCAAAAAATCCTAGGTAGACCTAATTCAATCACTTACCCATTAGAATTAAATGGTACACATTTAAGGAGGCAGGAATCACTTTCAGCATCCCACGGCTTCTAACTTTATCGGATTGTGCCTTTCGAATTGTCTTTATGAAATTTGATACTTACTCTGGGACTTCGTCGTCCGCGAAACCGAGGGAGCATAAATCTGTTGGTGAGGATAATCGTTCATTTCCATACTAAGCCTATAATGCATGGAAAATATCAGTCTGTCGAAGTGCTAATTTCTGAAAATGTAAACAAAAATGCATTAGACCCAATATTTCGATTTGTCGAAAATTCGTTTAATGAATTACTGGATGATGATAACTGTGAGTTCTGTTAATGGTCAGATAATGTAAATGACTCTTAGGGAAACAGGCGTCTAAATTTATAAATATCATTGCAAAAAACTCAAGCAACCAATTTTTTAATAAAAAATTTGAATCATCAGGTAAAGCAAAAAAATAACAAAATCTGTGGTGACATTCATCACAATTTGTTGTAAATTAAATGAATGAAATTGCCACACAATTCCGATTTTTCTGAGATGAGAAGTTTCCTGAAAACGATATTTGTTTCATAGCAAGGCAACCCTTTGTTCATATTTAGAAAAACAAAGCTCTGTTCAGTCTAACACTGGTGATAAGCCGAATATCCACGAAGAGGAAAAACTAGAAGAACCAAAGGAAACGGAAGAGGACCATCAAAAAGAAGACGTTGATGTAAACAAGATCGCTGTCAAATCTACCGTGAGTTTCCTTTTAATTTGCTTGCTCACTAAAAATTTCACACATCGGGCCTTTTAATATGAAAGACAGACAATAGATTTTCGAGTTTTCATTTTTTACCCTATAGAACGACGTAAAAATCTACCGTTCACTTTGCGTTCTCAATTCACGTAACTTAAAACTCATTTATATACAAATTTTGTGTAAACTATTTACTTATTCTGATCAGGGTCGTAATAAACCACCTATGTATCACGTTTATTGAGTCTTAATGTGGCAAACATTGTTTCGCATAACTTTACCTCCCATTGTGTCTGTTAACAGCTCGAAATGGGCTCATAGATTGTATTATTTCAGATTTCACCAAAAATCCCGTTACGTTTCATGATTTGTGCTGTGGTGCTGTGTGTGAATACAAGGTTGCCAATACGTAGTTTGTGCAATTATTATTTTTATTATTAACAATGAATTTGAGGAACGCAATTTTCTGACACAAACTTTCGACAATCATTCACAATTTAATAATGTTTAATGGTGGTCCAGTTTTGTTCCATCAATTCATACTTTTTAATGAGATTCCGAGTTCCGTTGAATTTGGGCCACCCAGTATAACACCTTGTTATACTTTAACGAGTTTTACATCACTCGGCTTCCAATTTAAGGTTCTCTTTGACGCATTTGATATCGAAGATGACCAACCGAAGGAGGAAGATGAAAATGAGAATCAGGAACTTATGGAACTATCCGAGGAGGACCTCTCGGAAACTCCAAGTATGCTTAATCTATAAGTTAAAGTCATGGACCTATGAAACCCCATTTTAGAACACTAAGCTCTAAGTTTGTTTGTGCACACATTCTTATTGCCGAAATAAGTCTGATCGTTCCTCTATTTTAATACTACTGTGTTAAACACTGTAAATTAGCTAAATTTATAATTATTACTATTCCGTCTCTTGCACAAATTTGATGCTGCAACTCTTTGGGCCTTAAATTACATGTTTTCTTTTGCGTTTCCAGCTCATAAGTTGTTCTTAAGTTTAAAATTTTCTAAACTCAAGGGCTTAATTGAAACCATGGAACCTGGAGCATTTTATATTTAAGATATGACAGAGTTTGATGGGACTTGTATTTTTTGTGTTAAATATATCCATTCAAGTGCAGAATTTTTTCATTTGAAATTACCACGAAACTTAATTCCGTCTTGAAACTAGTCAGTGCTTTCTGAATGGGAGGTGTTTGTGTACCTTATGTTAAATTGCTGTGTTTTACGCCCTACCTCGAACAGTGCAGGTTGTGAATTAATGGTATTTGGGTTGTATCAATTTGAAAAGTTGGCATTCGCAGCTGTTTAAAGAGATAAATATCTGTTCATATATTTAAGTCTACGTTACCCAAAAGTTAAAACCCAAAAGCCATTAGGTTTCCCCGTGAAACCATTCAGGAACTTGTATTTAAGGCTCTCCTGATTTCAAATGGACTTTCCGTACATATTGTCAAGTTATTTGACATTGCATTAAATTGAAATTATAGTAAGTCTTTCTAAAAGTTTTCTTCCTGATATCTATTTTCCAAAGGCAAACTGATTTGGGATCCAATTCCACTGCCAGAGGATGCGATAGACCTTTGTGACTACCACATTGTCGGTGGAGTCTTCCAATTCGACTTACTCAAACTTCCTCGTCAGCCAAAAGCAGGTCGAGGCTGGCGATGGACAAACTGCGTCGTTCCACCTCGACTAGAGCCCTTTAAGTACATCGCAGAAACCCCGGAAACTGACTACGACTCAAGGGGTATTGATAGCAATCATGAAGTAGATGCAGTTGAGAGTCAAGTGAAGGAATCCGATGAAGACAAAGAGTCTAGACCTAAGGATGAAACTCAACCAGCGACTGAAGCTGAGGCAGAAGCCCCAATGGGATGTAGGCTCCATATCGTATTAACTAGTTCAATACCCTTGGGGTATCATGTGTTCAAATGTATTGCAACCTATTTTATCCACTTTGGATAACTGAACAGGGAATAATTATACAAATAACGGGACTCGCACTAACGTAACTAGTTAAGTAGTTCGATTAAATGGCGTAAGCAAATTCAAGTGTTTTACTGTAATTTGAGCCTTAAAAATGTACCATTTGTGTATGAGTCGACTGAGATCATATAATTTGTTGACTTTGGTAAACATTTGGACCGTGACGCACTAAAGGTCGCCTTTCAAACATTTATACTTTTTTTCAATGTTTAACACAACAAACAAAATGCAAACTATTATCAAAACTAAATTCAATGTTTCATGGAGTATGCTATTTCAACTTGAAGGCTCTCGTAGCCGAAGGCAGCCTAACTTTGCATTTAGTGGAAGCTAAAATTAATTGTTAAAAGGTCCATGAAGGCAATTTGAAACTCAAGTTTGGTAGTTGCTACGCATTCTATTTGCTGTTAATTTAAGTTGTTTTACATTAATAAAAGAGGTACTCAATCAAATGCATTGGAAAATCGAGATCAGAGGCTTATTGGAACTAAAATTGACACCAAAAGACTGTCGACCATAGTGAAAATGGTCTCTTTAATTTGGTAGTAAATTTGTTTTTGGCCACTCAGGTTTAAGTACCCAATATACAGAAATACACGGAATAACAATGGCTTGAAGAAAAACAGCAGTGATGATTAGGACTTTAAGAACGCTATTCTTAATCATAGAGAGCTTCATACCTTGAATTAAGTTCTGTCTTGAATTAACCATGTATTTCAGTATAGAGTCATTTTAAACACCATTCAGGAGGATACACTATTTTAAACTTGCCAATGTTAGTACGTCAGATAAATGACTTCAAAGCAAGTATTTCATTCCAACGGACTTCTTTTTAGCAGCATCACATAACTATCTACGAAGTACTACGTTGTTAATGCGGAGAATCTCAATGTAAAAAGGTCTATGAAAGGGTATCGAAAAGTCGACTTTTGTTAACGTCAATCCCTATTTTGCTAATTTGTGCCTTAAAAGGTTCAAACCTCGAATGAGAATCCGCAATAAATTATGACTTTTATGTTTCCATTTCGATTCAAGTAATGCAAAATTATTTTGAAAGGACCAAGTTTGCAATCAAGCTATTAGTCGATAATCAAGACACATGCTACAAAGCAGCCAATATACCTGACTGACACAAGAGAAATTTTTGAAAGTGGTGAGACGAAGTTATGAATACTTGACGATATTCATTTAGCCACCAGCCAAAGTGTTATGAAACAGTGGCACAGTGTGTCCGATATAATTGCCAATGAAATGGTTCTCGATCCAGTAATTACAGTTTTCATTAATGCGGCATATGAAGTGTGCTGTAATGTTTGACAACTACTTAATAAAGGTCAATTTCAGGTAATTTTAGAATCACATTTTGAGTAATTTTTATGCAGCTGTTGACGTGAGGTTTATTTTAAACAAACTTATTTTCCACATTCGGCTCTTCTCATTCAGTAAAGTAAGGGAAAAATTGTGAAATTTGTGGTGTAGATTGTTTAACAAAACGCACATTTTAGAACTAGCATATCAAATACTCTCTAAGACTTTTCACTCAAACTTGATCAACTATCTGGTCAATCCACTGAAGTTGGTGATGGCCGAATTAAAGCTATACTTCTGTCTGATTGCGATGATCAATGTGTATAAATGGTTGAAAAGAGGCTAACAGCACTGTACATAACAATTAATAAACACCTCGGCTGTTTTTGACCCAGCAAAACGCTCTAAATTTCATTTACCACAACTTATTGATGGTGTGAATCGCGTTGATTCACACTCGCTAATCCGGCCTTCAACATAGGGTCCCCCTTTTCGCAGCATGCCGTCAGTCTCGTGGATCCTCAACGCCCCCCTCATTAGCTCGAACGATTATTCTGGATATCGTCGCACCTAGGTCTCGATATTATCGCGTGTATGGCTCACACCTGAGGTATAAATACACACGCCCAAAAGCTACACGCGAAACAACGCCAACATGGTTAAGCTCTGCAGTAAACGGTTGTGTCCACGTCCTCTTCCGTCTTTTCTTCATCTCGGATAACAGGGAAGCATAATAGGTCCAGATCCAACTCAGTGGCCCCGACGTTGTTTAAGGCCACAATAATTAGTGACCCCGACGTTGTTTAAGGCCACAATAATTAGTGACCCCGACGTGATGAAAGGCAATAATGGCAAACGATAATTCGCCAAACTTGATGAACCAGTACAAACCGGGACGAATTCCGAGTCGCGTCAAACACAGGCTACGCTGTCAAACCACTGTAATTACAATGGTTTTGTGCGTTGCGGGTTGCTTTTAATGGACCACGCAATCACTCCAAATGCTTGCTGTCAACGCCTCCCTAATGTGAAGGGCGCAAATAAGGAACAACAGCTTCAATTAGGCAAACTGCAAAGAAGACTTGTTCCACAACAACAACTGAAGTCCTCAAGTATTTTCTATGAATATGGACTTGTGAAGTTACATGTTTTGGTTCGCTTTAACTGACCGGATTTGTATCCAACACATTAATATAGCCAAACTTTCTGCAGGAGAGGTCTAATTTAATTGGATAATCCAAATTTAGAATTGTTCACTCGCGACCTGTCGAACAATCCTTGAACCATTCTTGTGCTTAACAAGCCTGACGAACTTAGGAACTTGGACAAGGTTGTCATCCTCGACAACATTTTCCGTGTTTTTAGCAGTGGTATATTTAAGATGCTAAATGCATTTTTATTTTACGAGTCAATTGTCACGCAAAATCACTGCTTTACATTCATTTTACTATGAGACTATGCATGGGGCAGTTATGTCACTCTTAATGGATTCGTTTCAACTGACTCGAATCGCCTGGCTTTAAAGTCAATCTGATGTTTTCATGGACCCGTGCCAATTCTGTTTTTAGTCGACTCTTTATCAACCACTTTGGTAAAGACCACGAATCCAGATCCAAATCCTCCTGTTGAAGTTAAATTACGGTATGTACTCTGTTTACCACAAGTTGACCCCAGTGATCACTCATCTTGAAGTATGAGTTTTGCTTGTTGCAGGTTGCCTGGATGCCTCATCATCCCTGAGGAACCCGTATTGGCATGTTGGGATCCTGTCAATTTATTATGGCGAACAAATAGAATTTATATCAATCAATTTATTCCAGATTTGAATGAAATCTCTTTTAGGACGGCAGTGTTTGGGACCTTTGGAGTTTTCCAAGATTTTCATTTGAACATGCCCTTTCAGGTAGGCGCGTTGTTAAAGGTCTATCAGTTTGGGAAAACCTGAGACATAAGAAATTGCATCATGCAAGAAAATCCAACCAAAAACCTTATTTTGTTTGCAAGTGAACTAGCTAAATAGGGACAAGTTGACCAGAGCAAGGCTTGATCACACCCGTAACAACAATTATCAGTTACTTTAGACGAGTGTCTTCTGCCTTTATAAAAGTAAAAGATCTGTAGCTGATTGCTCTCGTGCCACTTATTAACAAAAGGTCAATTCGAGTACCCATTGGATGACATTCAACAGAACTTTCCTACAGTTACTATTTGCTAGTAGTCTATTCTGTAACGTCAATTTTAGAGTACTTATCTAGACAAAAAGTACATATATTTTTAATATTAGCACTGGGAAATGAGACCACTTCCTAGAAGAGTGTCAAAGAGAAAATCATTCAAAGTTGCTCCGGTGAACTCGGAGTCGATGGAAGATGAGCTCGAACTCCTACCCGACGATACCCTGGTAACTAGCAATCACCCCATTTTCTTCTGCATTAGCGGTTTTAGTAGCTAACTGGACATCCCGGGTTAGTAAAATCTGTTGCCTTTAATCTCTTCACAGATAACGGATATTTTTATTGTCCTGTTGTAATATTCACTTCATATGCTTGGTACGGTAAACGCAAAGTCTCTTTCTGTCGGACTACCAGTGGTAACTCAAACGATAATCCCAATTTTATCAACAAAAGACGTTGTAGGATTACAACCAAACTAAGCCACACGTAATTTATTAGTATGTATTACCAAGGCCTGGCTGTTTAATTAAGCAAATGCCATTATCCATTCCGGTCTTTTTTCTAGTCAACTAATATTTCACTGGCAGAAACTATGTACATTGGTCGTGACCGTACATTGCTATAGCTTTCTGACCCGCTATTTAAATCTAATATAACTACTAGGTAGCTTTCACAACGTTTGACTGATGGGACGTATACCATCATAACGGGTAAACCATATGTCTACCACTTGGACTAACTTTGGTTTTCTTGATGAACAATCGCCCAGGCACACGTGTGTTTCATAATTTTGCATAAGTCCTTCTCGGTCGAAGGGCTTAAAGTTCGGTGCTCCTACCAATTAGTGGAGTGAGTCCACCTCCTGTAAATTTCAATACATGTCGTTATAATCAGATCCTTCAAATCACATAATGTTAGCGCAAAATCGGAATTAGGTACAAATAAAGTGCCACAACTTAATTGTAAACGCTACAAGTTGAAACTTGCATTTTGGCAAACTTACCAATAAAGTTCCGTATCACTGCACTTTTTAAACACACATAAGTTGTTTGATTATTAACTGAAGTAACTAAGCCTATTCCAGTGAGAAGTCGTATAACACTCACCGGTTGAATTTGTATGTTCTCCAATAACTAGGCTACTCCCGAACCATCTCATTCTGCACAACAGCCTTCGCGAGTAAAGCGATCTTCTCAGACCGATGCTGTACCTCCTCCATCGCAGCCTGATATGACGAGGCCCAGTGTCAACTTACAAGAAGCTGAATCTTCCACACTAATTACGCCCAATGAAGAGATGGCTCTTGGTCCCCTCCCTTCGATGGGTATTCCAGAAGAAATTTATTTAGCCGACAAATCTGAGGCTGACCAGTGTCTCATCACCATCACTGGAGCCTACATCAGGGTACTATCTTTTGCTTGTTACAATTTTTGAGATTTGATTGGAATCACAAAGTCGAGAAACACGCATTTTTTGACCCTGAATTTCATAGACAGGTTGCAAATACTTATGTTACACATTATGCCGTAGAAATGTATATCAAACAATCTGACTTGCATGGTTCGAGAGATTAGAACGTCGAGTAGGCAGGGCTAAACTACGTGAGGCAACACATCACCTACCTAAATCCTTCACTACTCATTAAAAAACGATTGTTTTATTTCAAAAGAGGCATAAGCCAAGAAAATCAAATAATGTATTTCTGTTTTCAAAGAGACTACACAAATTTATTTCAGATCAAGAATTGTTTAATTGGCACAAAGTTCTGGTTCCTTGGGTTTTTACGGAGATTTGATATCCATTTCGAGAATCTCTAGCCACGAGGCTAGCTCTCAAAGGTTGCTTAAGATATACGTTGCTTTAGCGCTCTTTTGAAAATCACAATTTTGGGCTATCGATTGAAACGCGTTCATGTCTATGATAAGGACTTTTCTTCAGTTTTCACAAGTGACCCAAGGCGCTGCATTTGAATTTCTGATTTCCTTTCTTCACAAGATCAGCGAATAATTTGAGAAAGCCGAACTCTTGCGTCCGACATATAATCTGAGCCGGTCTACTAGTTATTTTCATTAAGAGTAACTTCGCATTATGCATTTATGAATTCGGTTCAAACAAGTTCCCCCCAAATATTGCATGGGATAAGTTGCTTAAGTCCATATAAGACACTGCCAACCCCAACGTATCTTGCTACCAGATCCACCTTCATGTTCTGGACGATCGTGTGGCCATCCTTGCGGATGATCCAAAGGCTATATTGAACCCGATAAAGATTGCCGAGGAGGAAGCAGCAGCAGCAGCTAAGGCGACTGGACAGGCAGCTGATGATGCCGACGATGTGGCCACAGCAGCAACCAGTCGCCGTCGGGGTGCCGGGACAAGAGGCAGCAGAGCAGCCTCCAACTCTGCTGCAGACGAAACATCACGAGATCCTCTGGAGTTGGAACATCTAACAGGTAGATGGTTCACACCCGACGAGCTCATTAGCGTGCTCAAGTGCTCAGGAGTCAACCTGTTTCCTCGACTTGATTCCCATACTCGTGTTGAATGTATTGAGAAGGTTAGAAAAGTGTGTTACTTGTGTTGAATTATAACTACTCTTATAATCCAAAAAAATATATGGAAAGACGCATAATTAAGGGAAAACAGTGTATCTGAAGAACAGGATCATGGAAAGCAACCGACCTCTAATGGGCACTTAGGGTTAGGTGATGACTTTTATATGCCAACTATAGCACTTTGTGAATGATCATTGATCCCCGATGAATGTTCACCATTTTTTGTGGCTGCTGCTTTTTAGAGTGATGTGAATCCCACTGTAACGTAGGTCTTAAAGTTAGGAGATCGATCCGTCTTTCGCAATTTTTGTCAATTGTGCTGAGAATCACGATCTTTTTCAACCAATATTTTCCTGAAATCATCAAATTTTGCGTCCTAATAATACAATGGCATTTGTTATCAAACCAAATGACTGCAACTGAAAGCAGGAACACATATGTGATAAACATTGGTTCTTGGGATATTTGGTATGACTTTCCCCCACCATCACTTCAGACCCAATGAAAGCCAATGGTAAATGACCGCAGCCGGCAGGCAAAAGGACCTCGACCCGAAGTCAACTTTTTTCCACTAGATATATATGAGAAAAAATCACGGTGTTCTTTTTTTTCATTTTATAACAACATAACCAATTTTGAGCTGAATAAGTTTATCGCTTTTTGCACCCAAATTTTTGCGAAAGAATTTACAAATACGTTCGTCTTCTCCCATAATAGCACGAGTGGTGCCATTTACCTCTGTTTGTCAGGATTACGCCCTACAGGTCTCACTATTTTACACTATTAACCGACCAACATCTTATTAGAATTCGCGGATGGAGCAGAGGTTATATGAACAAATGGCGCTGCTGAGCCCCGTAATGGCTTTTGGCTGGTCGCACTGGAACTCTGCGTGTAAGGACCCGAACAGCTTCATTATAATGGGCACAGAACACATCGATAACGACGGTCCTGTCGATGAGGTAAAAATATTGCAGTTTTATTACCTCCTCCGAGTCTTGATTTCCCCTTTGCAAGTGAGCATACTGGTGTAGAGGGTATGCTTTACGATTACCTTTTTTCGATCGTAACATTCAGACAAATTCTTAAGCATGAAAATTTTTGAATGATATTACATAATACTTCAAAAGTTAATGAGTTTACATTAAAAATGCAGTTTGTGCCCTGGTTCGCTTTCAACACTAACTGTACATCAAAATTTTTTAGGGCCTCTGGAAGGTATACTTGATGAATCGAAAACACGTTTATCAAATGCAACTTTCGGAATCTGAAGATAAATTTAGGTCAGATCCAGAGCCAACACTTCGAGTAAGGAACGATACATTGTTTTGCATAGAAATATAAGGCATCTACATTTTTAAATTAACGTCCAAAATTGTGTAACTTAAACTGATTAAATGATACTTACTCACGAATTTCGTAATGAGTGGTGGCTTAAATGAAAAGTACTGAAGGTCCAATAAGTATGTTTACCACGGGCTAAATTAAGTGACATTAATGACAACACGTATTCGTTGTCGATATGAACTAAGAAGGAAACCGAAACTGGATGATTTTACCGTCTGGACCAAAGCAATAGCGAATGAGCGCAATCTCACAGCTAAGCAATTTCACAAAAATGTAAGTGGATTAACCAAATAATTTCCAATATTTAGCACCACGCGGACTTCTACCATATGTACATGGAAATTGGATCAGCCATTGGAAAGGAACGTGTTCAAAGAATTCAGAGTCGCTACTTCAAGACCGTACAACGAATCCTGAAATCGACCAGACTACCTGTGTTTTCATAACATCTAATAACCTGATTAGTTGATTACGATGTGATTTATTAAAAATATAACTTAGAAACAGTACCTCTGGATAGCCTATGAGGCACCACGGCGTACGATCTTAGGAGGGTGAGGATGCTATTACCGTTTATACTGCAAACAAGACAAAAACATTCAGGGCAACAATGAATTAACATTTTCACATTAAAGAAACATTTGCGAAGTTGTTAAAAACATTCGACCAAAATTCTACAATGGAAAGCTTTTTAATTACACGCATTAAAAATGACGTTTGAAAAAACGAACAGCTTAAAGGCGAGCAAATCAGCTTGCGATACGCTGAATAAGAAATTGAGACAGTGTGAAAGTCACAAACTTGACACAATTCCAGCATTTTAAGATAATTGATATCTTAGTCTTGCACTTGATGCCTATATGGCCGAAGATATTATTCTCAACTCTAACACCATCTTAGAGTTGATGTAAAAACATCCTTGGCGAAGGAGACCAGTGTGATTCCGATCTGGGTACAGACATATCGAATCAAAACGAGCTGGGCCTACCCTCTGTCTTTGTGCATCTGAATGGTCACAAGGAATATTAGCGGCCAATTAGAGACAGGGATGGATGAAGTGCGCCACTGTACTTTTCAGGCTCATTCTATGAGTAAGAACGGAGGGACATGGGGGGGGGGGGGTAACGCTTCTTGTTACAATACAAGACAATACGATACAACCTGGTCAAAAGGTACATTGGATTAAAAAGGTATATATGTAGTTTGTTTGGGCTGTGCTGGTCTATGCTAGTCCATTCGCTGTTCCTAAAATGGTGGCAGGCGATTCATGAGTGGATTGCCTCGAAGGCCCTGGCAAGCTATTAAATCCTCAAACAAACCCATGATCCCAGAAGTCACGCCACCGATCTCATGACGACGCAATCATGATGTAATTGCATGAATTCTTTGCTATCGACCATTGGGTGGGAGCCAAAGTGGTGACTGTTTGTAACGCCACTACACTACATAATGCGTGGTACAGCCCAAATAGTGAAATCGGATGGACGGTGCGGCTTGTGATTGGCCACTAAAGCCTGGTCTATTGTATGTCTTCTTAATGCTATGGCTTGATTTGTATCCACTATCGGCGATTTAAACTATCCTGAACCTTAAAGGTGCATTTTAACGGAGGCTTCCACATGAAAGTAATTAAAATGGGAAAGGTCCTGATAAATATATCGAGGCTTATGAAATAGACTGTTATAGAGTTTAACTGGATTTAAAGGATAGGAGAAAATGACACCACATTTGGACATAAGTCACGCGACGCGACATAATTTGAGTGTTTCTCGTTAAGTAAATTTAACTAGAATTTAGATAAGGTGGAATGATTTTTATGGAGTGACGCATAAGGTGTACTAATTTTTTTATAGTTCTTGTGAGCAAGCAACTTGACTGCACCTAAAGTTCTGTCATTCAACCTAAGCGATAAAGGTTAACAATTCGAGCACTACATAATAAAATGCTTGACGTGGGAAAGCACCAGTGTTCCAGCAGAGCAAATAGCCATCACCACAAATGGTGGTAAAAACAAAATAACTTTAGAGCACAGTCTGCGTTTTTGAGACAAAAAAGCAGTGAAACCCAAAGGTTATGCTATTTTTGGAGGTATTGAGTTGTTTGACCTTTTGTTCAAACCCATTGTCGCGAATACATGACGCATTAAAACAACAAAAACTTAATACATCCTATTCTTTTGAAAATTTACAGATTCATGTTGCTAGTATGCATTTTTTCAAAATCACAAATTCTGCTGAGAACAGAAATACAATTCTTCATTAAAATGCTCTTCAAATCCCTCGACTGCATTATATAAACATTCAAATGAACTCTAAATTTGTGAATACCTATGAACAATTCTAAAATATTTATGCTTTATTTTGTGCACATAATCATTAATTGCATTCCATTGCACAAATCGTATAACCTACTTTGATAAACATTTAAAATATATTTCAAATCTCCATTACCGGAAATATTTTCGTGATATTGCGCTAGTGCTTACATCACTTAGTTATTTCACGATATTTTCTTGACGATTTAAATAATGTAATCTAAGCAAACTTGGTGGTAAACAATGAACAAAAAAATTAAAATCAAAAGCATTTCCTTGTTTGAATGCATCTCACGGACCAATCGGCTTTTAGCGTAGTCGTCTATTTTGTGTCTACGTGGAAACGAATGGAGGTGGAGTTAATCGTCCAGGATGCGAGGGATAATTATGTTCTCGGGAATTTCCAAGAGTGCCTGAAGCTTTTACATGGCATTCCGGTACTGACATTAACCCTTTTCATTTTTTTGGGTTCATTTTCCGCAGATGGGGTTCTAGATATTTGTTGACCCACTTTTTTCTCTTCAGCTGGTGCCTTGTGTAAAATTTTGTTATTGTGTTGCATTGATGAATCAGTCTTTTATTTC